AGAGTATTTTCCAGCTTGGATTCATTCTCTTCCTCACATTCAGGTACACCTATCAAATGTAGATTAGTTCTTTTTACATAGTCCCACATTTCTTGGAGACTTTGTTCATTCCTTTTTACCCTTTTTTCTCTATTCTTGCCTTCTCATTTTATTTCATTGAGTTGATCTTCGACCTCTGATATCCTTTCTTCTGCTTCGTCAATTCGGCTGTTGAAACTTGTGCATGCTTCGTGAAGTTCTCGTGTTGTGTTTTTCAGCTCCGTCAATTCACTTATATTCCTCTCTATGTTGTCCATTCTCGTTAGCATTTCATCAAATCTTTTTTCAAGGTTCTTAGTTTCTTTGCATTGGGTTAGAACATGTTCTTTTAGCTCACAGAAGTTTCTTATTACCCACCTTCTGAAGTCTGATTCTGTCATTTCATCACATTCATTCTCCATCCAGCCTTGTTCCCTTGCTGGTGAGGAGTTGTGATCCCTTGTAGGAGGAGAGGTGTCCTGGTTTCGTGTGTTTTTATCCTTCTTGCGCTGGTTTCTTCCCATCTTTGTGGATTTATCCACCTGTTGTCTTTGTAATTGCTGACTTTGAGATTGCATCTCTGGGTGAACTTCTAGTTTGTGGATGATTAAGTTATTTCTGTTTCTTAGTTTTCCTTCTAACAATCTGGCCCCTCTACTGTAGGACTGCTGAGGTCCACTCTAGGCCCTGCTTGCCTGAGGATCACCCGCAGCAGTTGCAGCACAGTAAGGGTTCCTACCAGTTTCTTCTTCTGCTATCTTTGTCCCAGAAGGATACCTGCCAAATGTCAGTGTGTTCTCTCCTTTATGAGGTGACTCTTTGGACATACAGGGGTCAGGGAGCTGCTTGAGGAGACAGTCTGTCCTTTATTGGAGCTCAAGTGCTGAGCTGTGAGCTCCGTTGTTCATTCAGAGTTGCTGGGCAGGTACATTTAGGTCTGCTGCAGCAGAGCTCATAAACTCTTTTTTTTTTTTTATTTCCCAGGTGCTCTGTCCCAGGGAGTTAGGGCTTTATTTATGAGTTTCCATTGTGCTGCTGCCTTTTTTTTTCAGGGCTGCCCTGCGCAGCGAGGAGGCAGCCTCCTCACTGTCTGCCTGCAGAGGCTTTGCTGAGCTGCTGTGGGCTCCACCCAGCTGCCATGTGATCTTCCCTGCAGTCCTTTTTGTATGGGTGTAGTTAGAACTACCTCGGCAATGTTGGCCCACCTCTGTAATGGCGGACTCTCTCTGTAATGGCAGATTGCCTTGGCAATGGTGGACTGCCTCAGTGATGGTGGACTACCTCGGTAGTGGTGGAGTGTTTCGGTAATGGCGGATGCCCCTCCCCCACAGAGCTGGACCATCTGGGGTTCAGCCGTGCTTGCTGTGAAACTCTCAACCCAGAGTGTTTTCAATTGCTGTTTTGTTTTTTGTGTGTTGGGGGGTTGGGTCCAGCCTAGCCTGATCACCTGACTCCCTGACTCAGAGCCTGGTTTTTTTTTTTTTTTTTTTTTTTCAGTTGTACGGTCGACTCTCTACCAGGTGTTCCAGTAGCCTGTTGAAAAGGCGCTGGGATCTGTGTGATTTCCTGTGCGGCAACTCACTGTGCCGGCTGAAACAGTGGCGCTGAGATTCGTGGCAGTTTTTTTGCCCAGGAATCTCCTGGCCTGGCTCCCTATTTCAGTTCCTTTTTAAATCAGATGAATGGGTGATCTGCCTTCCCGGGTCTCTAATAGCCAGCTAAAAGGGCACCCAGACCAGTGTATTTTGTATGGAGAACCCCGTGCCAGGGCGCCGGCAAAGTAGCCATGCTGGCCGCGCTGGCCAAAACAGCCGTGCTGGCAACTCATGGGGCTTCTCCGCCTGGGAATCTCCTTGCCTGTGGGCAATAAAAATCTATCTGGAAATGCGGCATCCACTCACCCTCTGCGTTTTCACTGGGAGCTGCAATCCTGAGCTGTTCCTAGTTGGCCATCTTGGGTCCTCTCCCCCAAAATTTCAGCTTGTCCTTATAGTAAAATTCTGATAAATAAATGTAGAAAAATTGAAACAAAAAACCACCATTTGATAAATATAGAAATCATTTTTACAGGCAATAATTATCTATGGATGCTAAAATTGATTAATTGTGACTAGAAATTATTTCCTTTTAAAAATCTTACCTCAAATGCATCCATGAAAGATATATATTAATTACAAAGGGAAAAATAATAACTTTACTGTGGAAAAACGGGTGGATGCTGCCTTAATTACATGTTCAGAGTTAATATTAACAATATCTTGACATCAGGTACCTTCTAATGTTATGTTCTTAATGTCATGTTATATATATAACTTGGGCTTAATATCACCTTGGCAAAAATGAGTAATCTCAGTATAAACATGAGAGAATTTCATTCAAAAGCAAATTGAGGGAGATTCTACAAGTTAACTGATCAGTATTCTTCAGGAATGTCCAGGTCATAGGAAAACAAGGAGAGACTGAGAAACTGTCATTGATTGGTAGAGACCAAAGAGACATGATGACTGAAGGCCACCCCTTCGTCCTATATAGACAACTCAGTAAAAGTTTTGTCCCTGTGTTAAGACTAGGATAACTGTTTTTTTTAATCTAGTAGGAGATGCTCTATAAATATACTAAGGGCTTCCCACATATACCAGTGCCTTTCAACACTGTGACAAAGATTTCTTTATTGATGCCTGTCATGGACCTTAAGTATGTCAGTATGCCATTTCCACTTAATCAAAGGCGGTAGTCCTCCAGTTCACTGAGGGGTATCCTGCTGGAGAAACGACACAAGACAACAACAGAGGTACAAGAAATCCATGATGATCACCTGTCGTGAACAACATAGTCCTTCATTTATAAACATGAACATACACGTAAAGACCACCAGATATATGAGGAAGATCAGTAAAATGAAAATGAAATTAGAAAATGAATTATTTACTCCAGAGGAAATGTAGATGATGCAAGAAGCAAACAGCAGTTTTTTTTGAGATGGAGCCTCACTCTCACCCAGGCTGGAATGCAATGGTGTGATATTGACTCACTGCAACCTCTGCTTTCAAGGCTCAAGCAATCCTCCCACCTGAGCCTCCTGAGTAAATGGGAACACAGGCATCTGCCATCCCACCCCACTGATTTTTGTGTGTGTGTGTTTTGTAGAGATAGGGTTTTGCTATGTTCCCCAGGGTAGTCTCAAACTCTTGAGCTCAAACAATCTACCTGTGTTGGCCTCCCAAAGCATTGGAATTACAGGCGTGAGCCACTGTGCCTGGCCAAAAAGACAACTTTAAAAACTTTAGTCTGAAGCCTTAGAGAGACTCCAGAGGATTGATATCCACCAAAGACAACTAGAAAGTTAACAGATTTCCATGCAAAGCAGAAATCAGAGCAGGAAAGGTTAAAAGGCATGACAGTTAAAACAGAAAATTTAATAGAATTGATAAAATGACACATCAGTGACTTAATAATATGAAAAGAAATCCCCTATAGCATAGTGCTCTAGAAATACCATATAGAAATATAAATAAAGAAGAGTCGAGGTGTAGTTACCAACATATATTTCATTATTTCCTTTATTTTAGAGGATTCCCTTAGGATTTCTTAGCCATTCCAGTTTGGAAAAGGCATTTCACTCTGTTTTTCTATTATCACCCCAGAAGTCATAAACCTGGAAACATTAACAATATCCAAAGTATTTAAACCGAGATATAAAGTAGTTATTCTGTAGCCATCAATTCTGTTGTTACATTTTCATACTATTGCCTTTTCCAAAGCTGAATGTCTGTTATTTACTTAGGAAATAAAATGTTGTATGAAAATGAGCCCTATAAAAAGTGTACCCTTCCCTATCATCCCCATCGCAAGACTCCAGAGTAGCCATTGCCGACAGCTTTCTTTATATTTTCTATGCACTGACAACTATGTATGCAAAATGTTGAACAAAAATGGGATCATATTTATTTTTCAGCATCTTGAGTTTTTTTACTCAATAATAAAGCATCAGAATCTTTTCATGCTTTTGTCTAGATATCTGTCTTCTCAGGTTTTTTTGTTTTGTTTTAGTTTGGTTTGTTTTTTTATGTATATTTATTTATTTTTGAAACAGGGTTTCACTCTGTTGCCCAGGCTGGAGTGCAGTGGCGTGATCACAGCTCACTGCCACCTCAACCTCCCAGGCTAAAGCTATCTTCCCACCTCAGCCTCCCAAGTAGCTGGGACTATAGGCACAGGCCATCATGCCCTGCTATTTTTTTGTTTTTTTGTTTTTTGTGTGTTTTTTTTGTTTGTTTGTTTGTTTTAGAGATGGAGTTTCACTGTATTGCCGAGGTTGTTCTGGAACTCCTGGGCTCAAGCAATCTGCCCAACTCAGCCCCTCAAAGTGCTGGAATTACAGGTGTGAGCCACTGTGCCCAGCCTCTGTCTCATTTTTAACAGCCAGAGTCATGTGACATATAATGACATTTCAATCAATGGCGGAGAGACCACATATACAACAGTGATTCTATGCATATTATTATAATGGAGGTGAAAAAATCCTCTCACTTAGTGATAATGTCATAGTATAATGATTACTCAAGTGTTTAGGGTAGTTCTAGTGTAAACCTACTGTGCTGCCGGTTGTAAAAAAGTATAGTGCATACAATTACGTACAGTACATAATACTTGATAATAAATTACTATGTTACTGGTTTATGTGATTTTTTTTTTTTTTTTGAGACAGGCTCACTGCATTGCCTGAGCTGCAGTGCAGTGGCACTATCTCCACTCACTGCAACCACCGCCTCCCAGGTTCAAATGATTCTTATGCCTAAACCTCCCAGCTAGCCGGGATTACAGGTGTGAGCCATCATGCCTAGATAATCTTTTTATTTTTAGTAAAGACAGCGTTTCACCATGTTGGCCAGGCTGGTCTCGAACCTCTGGCCTCAAATGATGAGCTCACCTCAGCCTCCCAAAGGGCTGAGATTATAGGAAGCAGTCATTGCACCCGGCCATTGTTTATGTATTTACTATACTTTTTAATCATACTTAAGAGTGTATATGTATATATTTAGAAGTTAACTGTAAACAGCCTGAACTAAGTTATTTGAAAGATAGTCCAGAAGAAATTATCATAGGAGATAAGTCTGTATGTGTGTTATTGCGTCTCAAGACATTCCAGTGAGACAAACTATAAAAGTGGAAGACAGTGATATTGATGATCCAGTCTCTGCATAGTCCTAGGCTTAATGTGCATGTCTCTTAGTTTTTAACAAAAAAAGTTTAAAATGTAAAAAAAAAAAAAGAAAGAAAAGAAAAAGCTTGTTGTATAAGGATATAAATAAAATATTATATTTTCTTTATAATCTGGTTGTGGTGGCCCACTCCTATAATCCCAGCAATTTGGGAGGCCCAGGTGGGCAGATACCTCAGCTCAGGAGTTTGAGGCCTGCCTGACCAACATGGAAAAACCCATCTCTACTAAAAATACAAAATTAGCCTGGCGTGGTGGTACATGCTTGTAATCCCAGCTACTCAGGAGGCTGAGGCAGAAGAATCGCATGAACCTGAGAGGCAAAGCTTGTGGTGAGCCAAGATTGCAGCATTGCACTCCAGCCTGGGCAACTAAAACAAAAACAAAAACAAAACAAACAAACAAAAAAAAAAAAATATATATATATATATTTTATATAGATTTTCATCAGTTTGTCTTTTAAGCTAAGTGTTATTACAAAACAGTCAAAAAGTTTAGAAAACACTAAAAAGCTTATAAAGTAAAAGAAAACTTACAGTAAGCTTACTTTATTATTGAAGAAAGAAAAATATGTTTTAGAAATTTACTGTAGCCTAAGTTTACAGTATGTTTATAAAGTTTACTTATAAACCTACGTCTTCTCAAATTACTTCCCACTCACTCATTGACACCTAGAGCAACTTCCATCCAGTTCTGCAAGCTCCTTTCATAGTAAGTGCCCTATGCAGGTATACCATTTTTTGTCTTCTGTGGTGTATTTTTTGCTGTAATTTTTCTATGTTTAGATACACAAATACTTACTATTGTCTTACAATTGCCAAGAGTATTCAGTACAGTAACATTTTTACAGGTTTGTATCCTAGGAATAATAGGTTGTACCATATAGATCAGTTGTATGGTAGACTATACCATTCAGTTTTGTGTAGTACACTCTATGACAGCAGTCCCAACCTTTTTGGCAATAGGGACCAGTTTCCCAGAAGACAGTTTTTCCACAGACTGCAGGGGAGCATTTCAGGATGAAACTGTTCCACCTCAGATCATAAGGCTCCTCATAAGGAGCACATAACGTAGATCCTTAGCATGTTCAGTTCACAATAGGGTTCACTCTTCTATGAGAATCTAATGCTATGGCTGATCTGACAGGAGGCAGAGCTCAGGCAGTAATAATGCCTTGCCTGTCGCTCACCTGCTGTGCAGCCTGGTTCCTAACAGGACCACTACTAATCTGTGGCCTGGGGTTGGACACCCCTGCTCTATGATGTTTACACAATGACAAAATCACCTAACGATGCGTTTTTCAGAACATATCCCCATCATTAAGCAGTGCATGACTATACATAGAATTCCCCACAAAGAATGCATTATACTTTAACCATTTTACATTTGTTGAACCCGTCTCACTGTAACAATAATTATCTTCAGCTTTCATTCAGTCAGTCATCCATCCTTTAGTGTTACTTTGTTTGCTTTTGATTTGCTGTTCCTATTCTTAGTTTCGTCTCTCCTCTCTTTCAAAGTTGTGTTTTTGGTATACCCATTTATTCTTGCTTTTCTTCCTGCTTATTATTCTCAATTGTAATTATTGTTGTTAGGTACACTTTGAAATTTTAAATTAAATTTAACTCAAATCTTTAGATTCCAACTAATTGCTAATGTTTGTAGCAGATGCCTTTCAGTAGAATTTGAGGGTAGTGGGAAAACCTGGTATCTGATGCTTCCAGCATTCTGAAACTGAGAAGGAATAATTAAGATTAATAGAGTAGCACCCTCTTAAATAATACAGCTGGCACTTGTAATTGGGCAGTTAACTGAAAAGTTGGTTATAGCTGGGACTAATAAAATGTTAAGACTTAAGCATTTTACTTTCTTTAAAACATAAAACTACATTTATTCACCAGTCCTTAGATGTAAAGCCAACAAGATCTTTGCTTTGAGTTTAGATTGCTGAATGGTGTTCTCAGCGCTCTCACAAAAATCACACCCTTAATGCATGATGTATGATTTCCCATTTTGATTTCTTCAGAGAAAGAAACTAAAGACGTTTTGAAACAATTTGAATATAGAATACCTTTAGATACTGACAGTTGCTCTAATCTTTTCCAATGTCTCATCCACAAGTTAACTTTTAGTGACTTCTTTATTGAGTCCTGTTAAAACGTTCAGCTTAGTTTGTTGCTGTTTTTATAGGCTAGTTCTTTTGCTGCACTCTTAGTTTATAAGTTTATATATAGTTAATTAGATTATGTAATAAAAGTAACAAATATAACAGCATAAACAGTATTGAAAACAAACAGAATTGATCTTTAGTAAGCGTCTACTTAACTAGATGACAAAGTATCTGGCCATACTAGAGAATAGATTATTATCCATGAACCTTCAGCAAGGTGGATATGTCGTGTTTTTAAAGAGCAAATGGGCCAGGCACAGTGGCTCACACATGTAATCCCAGCACTTTGGAAGGCCAAGGCGGACATATCACCTGAGGTCAGGAGTTCAAGACCAGTGTGACCAATATGGTGAAACCCTGTCTCTACTAAAACTACAAAAATTAGGCATGGTGGCGGACGCCTGTAGTCCCAGTCCCAGCTACTCGGGAGGATGAGGTAAGAAAATCACTTGAACCCAGGAAGTGGAGGCTGCAGTGAGCCAAGATTGTGCCACTGCAGTCCAGCTTGGGTGGCAAAGCGAGACTGTCTCAAAAGGAAAAAAAAAAATGTATCAAATGAAGAGTGCTGGCAATAGAGTCAAGTGATCTAAGTAGAGACTGTTTCAGATCATTTATACTATACATTAGGATTAAAGGAGATCAGCAAACTGCACACTGGTAGAACTAGGTGACAAGTAGTCATGTAGTTTTCTTGGCTCCTAATACCTAGGTTATTTTGAGAAGTGTATTTCATTTTTAACTTTTTATTGTTATTAGGATGTTGAAGGGAAAATCCATTTTTATCTACCAATACCTGTTTACACTGTTGGAACATGGCTTGGATTAAGACTGAAGTTAGCCATCCAAAATTTCTTTTTTGTGTGTGCTTGACTGTGAATGCTAATGATATGTCCCTTGTTAATAAGTAAGTAATACTTTATCCTCCCTTTTTAAAATAAATAAGGCTTACCTAAGACAGATCTTAAAACTGCTTGTACTCCCAAAGTATTTTGAGAATTCCATTTGGTAGCAAAACTTAAACCAATAAATACATTTACACTGCTTTTTCTTAATATAAATCATTTTTAACCTCTTCCTTCAGTGGTTATGGGATATTGCAGTAAAATGCTGAAATCACCTCTCTGTGTTCTCCAAATACCTAGCTTCCTGGCCATGCACACTGCCTAAGGGTTCAATAAGCAGGTTAATTCTTCCTTCAGGGTTGGCCTGAGGGTTAAGGTTCCTGATGAGCCAACTAGAGCTTGCAAGTTGGAAGAAAGTGAGTGGATAAAGTGCACATGAATGATGGGGGTGAAAAACCACTCCTGTGCAGCTGAGGTCACACAGTGATCTCTATTCTATTTTACTATTTTATGCATTTCAATTTTCTTGTTGATGCTGTTTTCAGCTCATCTTATAACCCTATTACAACACAGCTCTTTCGACATCTGACAAAGAATTGTTATGAAAACATTTTCCAATGTTTTCATCCAGCTGTTTTGGTGCAAGTTTTGGTTTCTATTCCTTTCTGTTTTTTTCATTTATCCCAAACCTGTTTCTTATTTTATATTTTTATGAATAAGATGAAATAAGAGAGGGGAAAATGTGACAACATGGAAAAGTTTATTTTTACTTGATTACATGTTTTTCTATGATATCTCTAATAGTAATAATAATGATGATTACCATATCTGCTGGTATTTTATATATTTTATGTATTAACCATTATCCTAATTTTAAACTGACTTCATATTTTACTGGCAAAGCCAGACTGCCTGAGTTTAAGTATAATAACTTGCCCCATGTTATATAGGTAGTAAGCAGATGAGTAAGAACAGAAAGCTAAGACATAAGCCTCTAAGCCAAAGCTTTCTCTTCCATTCCAGCATTTCTCAATCTAGGAATCCTGAAAGGTTGGGATGTCTCCAGATGTCATCTTATAACAAATTTTTTATTCTTTCAACAAATATTAACTGAGTGCTTATTATGTGTTAGACACTGTTCTGGACACTTAAGATACTTTATAAAAAAAGAAAAACATTGCTACCCTGAGCTTACATGAGCTTACATTCTGTGGGAAGGGGGGAGATAGACAATAAACAAATAAAGAAGTAAAATACATAGTATGTTAGAAGATGATAAGTGTTATGAAAAAAAATTCAACAGTTTTGAATTGTGCTTTTGTCTTTTTAGTTATAATTAACAGCGATATTGTGAATAAGCTTAGTAACCTCTTATAACAGAATACTCCAGCCTGGGCAACAAAGTTAGACTCTGTCTCTCTGAAAACTTAGCTGAGCATGGTGGCACAGGCCTGTAGTCCCAACTATTCAGGAAGCTGAGCTAGAAGGATTGCTTGAGCTGCAGGAGGTCCAGGCCGCAGTGAGCAGTGTTGATGGCGCTGCATTCCAGAACAATTATTTGGTGTTTTCTCTAGAAACACAATTATTTGGTTGTATTTGGCTAGATAGAGAATGCAAAAAATGTCATCATACAATGTAAAACTGAAGGTGCCATAGTGGTTTAAAGAGGATTGATTTGTAACAACATCTGGTAGTAAAGGCAACATGAACCTAAATGAACACTGCTGTCATTGGTACCGTCTTGAATTTGAAATGGTTATTGTATTGTGGAGACCTTATTTTTGTATGTACCTCTTTGAAATATTTCCATGTTGCCCAATACCCTGTTCAACCTCCCATCAATCAGATTACTTAAAGTAAATTTAAATAATAGGAGTATTTAAACTTATCTTTAAATAAAATATAGTTCTATAATTTTAACAATGACACTGATATGGCTTGCCTGTATCCCCAGCCAAATCTTATCTAAATTTCCAGGTGTTGTGGGAGGGATCCAGTGGGAGATAATTGAATCATGGGGTAATTTCCCCCATACTGTTCTTGTGGTAGTGAATAAGTCTCACAAGATCTGATGATTTTATGGGGGTATTTTCACTTTTGCATCTTCCTCATTCTCTCATTTTTTTGCCTGCCATCATCCACATAAGATGTGACTTCCTCCTCCTTGCCTTTCACCATGATTGTGAGGCTCCCCCAGCCACTTAGAACTATAAGTACAATTAAACCTCTTTCTTTTGTAAGTTGCCCAGTCTCGGGTCTGTCTTTATCAGCAACATGAAAATGAACTAATATAGACACCTTATTAAAATAGGCACTCAAAGATTTTTTCTGAGCAGGACTTTGTTAAGTGTAAGTCTGATCATACTGTACTATCAAGCAAAGCCTTTACATTGTGAAAACTATTTTTTAAATAAAGATTTAACTTATTAAAGTACAGAAATCTTTAATGTACAACTCAGTGAACATTATTGCCATTTTATACAACATACTTCTGTAAAGAGGCAGTGTCCACAGTAGTAACATGAAAATTTTTAAATTTTAGAAATGTAGAACACCAAATAATAAATGTAAGTATAGACCCATACCTGAAGAAATACCACCCTACCTTAAACCTAACATAAGCAATTTTAGTAAAACAAAATAATTTGTTATATTATTTTTATTTAAATGTTGGTTTTATAATTTTTTAAACTTTTAGTTTTATACTTATAAAAGCTTAAGAAAATGCATTAAACCTAACTTTATGATTTTATGTATATATGTATTTAAGTAATGTAACATTAAGATTCTGCAGAATTTTATTTTAAAGGGTCTGTGTAGTTCTTACATTTGAGAAATACTATGCAGCAATGTCTTCCTCTAAGTAGAAATTTATCTGATAAACAATGAATTTATTTGAGCACCTTAAATGTAAAGCTGTAGCTTTTCTTGCTTATTTTCAAGTTACAATTTGGTAGGGTAATGACTTTTATAGAAATAGAGTCTATATCTATCCAGTCCTCATTTGTGATCCTATTAACAAGTAGTCGTCATTCAGGTTGGTGCTGAGCTTCAAACTATATTGTCATTACAAAAATTTTATTTTAGTTGGGAAAGTTTTATACATATTAATTTGCTCATATAGGTTCTTATTTAAAAAACTTCAGTCATTCTATCCTTTGCTCTATTTTCATGTTAACATTTTTACAATTCCAAATTCCTGAATTCTTGAATCTAGATTATTAAGACTTGATTGAAGTAGACTTAACTTTGTAACCATAACTTAAATGCAGCAACTAATCTGTGTTTCCCAGGTCAATTCTGGGGAAGATTTGTGAATGTGAATTGGAGGATGTGAATCATGGCATTGAAAACAATTTTAAATGCAATATTGGCCATTCCCATTCCTTTTTTTTAGGGGGGATGGTGGTGGTATGGAGTCTTGCTCTATCACCCAGGCTGGTATGCAGTGGCATAATCTCAGCTCACTGCAACCTCATCCTCCTGGGTTCAAGCAATTCTCCTGCCTCAGCCTCCCAATTAGCTGGGATTACAGATGCATGCCACCACACCTGGCCATTTTGTATTTTTAGTAGAGACAGGGATTCACCATGTTGTCCAGGCTGGTCTCAAACTCCTGAGCTCAAGTGATCCACTCACCCTAGCCTTCCAAAGTGTTGGGATTACAGGCATGAGCCACCCCACCCGGCCACCATTCCCATTCTTAAAAACCCTACTATGAATATAATTAAAGCCTTTACATTGTATACTTTAAATATGTAAGTTGTGTGGTATGTGAATTGTATCTCAATGAAGCAATTTTTTAAAAAATTAGAGCCATGTAACAGTCTGTTTCTATTTACCATCTCATCCTTTGTGATATTATTCTTTAAAAAAAAATAAAAGAAAGAAAGAAAGAAACAAAGAAAAAAGAATGAAGGAGAGGAATAAAGAGGAAGAGGAAGAGGGAGAGAGAATGGAAGTGTTACTTTATTGCCCAGGCTAGAATGCAGTCTAAAAATGGGAATCAAAAACCTCTTTTATACCAATAATTGTGCTTAATAATGGAGACAGGAAAAAATGAGGGAGGAAAATAACAAACAAGCAGCCAACCAATATTTCATTTAAACCTGTAAGTAGGTGTGATGTGGTGCTGACAAGAGTGTATATTTTGTGTATTTAAAGCGGAGAGTTCTATAAATGTTTATTAAGTTTACTTGTTCCAGATCTGAGTTCAAGTCCTGGATACCCTTGTTAATTTTCTGTCTCGTTGATCTGTCTAATATTGATGTTGAAGTCTCCCACTATTATTGTGTGGGAGTCTAAGTCTCTTTATAAGTCTTGTGTATCTGGGTGTTCCTGTATTGGGTGTGTATATATTTAGGATCGTTAGCTCTTCTTGTTGCATTGATCCTTTTACCGTTATGTAATGTCCTTCTTTGCCTCTTTTGAACTTTGTTGCTTTAAAGTCTATTTTATCAGAGGCAAGAATTGCAACTCCTGCTTTTTATTTATTTATTTATTTTTGCTTTCCATTTGGTTGGTAAATCTTTCTCCATCCCTTTGTTTTGAGTCTTTGTGTATCCTTGCAATGTGAGATGGGTCTGGATGCAGCATACCGATGGGTTTTTGGCTATGATATTATTTTATATGTAACATATACACTAACCCAAAAGGCGAGTGTTGTTATATTTCATTAGTTACATTATTTTAAAGATAAGAAAAAGTGTACCACTTTATAGTTACCCGAGTATTTACCATTTCAGATTTTCTTCATTCTTTCTATATTATTTTCATGTAATTTTCCTCAGCCTGAAGAATTGATATTTCTTGTAGAGCAGTTCTGCTGATAACAGGCTCTCTCAATTTTTTCTGAAGATGTATTCATTTTACTTTCATTTTTTTAAGATGAATTTTTCCTAGATAGAGAATGTAAGTTTGGCAGTTCCTGCCCCCGTTAGCACTTTAAAGATGTTGTTCCATTATTTCCTCACCTCTATTGTTTCTAATGTGATATCAGTAGTAATTTGTATAATTGTTCCCCTGTTTATAATGGGGCTGTTGTCTGGCTGCTTTTCTCTTTATTTATGTTTTCAACTGTTTGGTGAAAAAGTGCCTAAGTGTGGTTTCTTTGTATCACTCTTAATTGGGGTTCATTGATTTTGGATCTATAAATTTTTGTCTTTCATACTTTAGGAGAAATTTGATAATTATTTCCTCAAATTTTTTTTTGATATATATTTTTTATTGCACTTTAAGTTTTGGGGTACATATGCAGATCACACAGGATTGTTGCATAGGTACATACATGGCATTGTGGTTTGCTGCCTCCATCCCCCCTGTCACAAATATCTGGCATTTCTCCCCATGTTATCCCTCCCCAACCTCCCTACTCCCTGCTGTCCCTCCCTTGGCCCCCCTAACAGACCCCAGTGTGTGATGCTCCCCTCCCTGTGTCCATGTGTTCTCATTGTTCATCACCCGCCTATGAGTGAGAACATGTGGTGTCTGATTTTCTGTTCTTGTGTCAGTTTGCTGAGAATGATGGTTTCCAGATTCGTTCATGTCCCTACAAAGGACACAAACTCATCGTTTTTTATGGCTGCAAATATTCCATGGTGTATATGTGCCACATTTTCCCTGTCCAGTCTATCATCAATGGGCATTTGGGTTGGTTCCAGGTCTTTGCTATTGTAAACAGTGCTGCAATGAACATTCATGTGCATGTGTCCTTATAGTAGAATGATTTATAATCCTGTGGATATATACCCAGTAATGGGATTGCTGGGTCAAATGGAATTTCTGTTTCTAGGTCCTTGAGGAATCACCACACTGGCTTCCACAATGGTTGAACTAATTTACACTCCCACTAACAGTGTAAAAGTGTTCCTATTTCTCCACATTCTCTCCATCATCTGTTGTCTCTAGATTTTTTAATGATCGCCATTCTAATTGGCGTGAGATGCTATGTCAGTGTGATTTTGATTTGCATTTCTCTAATGACCAGTGATGTTGAGCATTTTTTCATATGTCTGTTGGCCTCATATATGCCTTCTTTTGAAAAGTGTCTGTTCATATCCTTTGCACACTTTTGAGTGGGCTTGTTTGTTTTTTTCTTGTAAATCTGTTTTAGTTATTTGTAGATTCTGGATATTAGCCCTTTATCAGATGGGTAGATTGCAAAAATTTTTTCCCATTCTGTTGGTTGCTGGTTCATTCTAATGATTGTTTCTTTTGCTGTACAGAAGCTCTGGAGTTTAATTAGATCCCATTTGTCTATTTTGGCTTTTGTTGCCAATGCTTTTTGTGTTTTAGTCATGAAGCCCTTGCCTATGCCTATGTCCCGAATGGTTTTTGCCTAGGTTTTCTTCTGGAGTTTTTATGGTGTTCGATCTTATGTTTAAGTCTTTAATCCATCTGGAGTTAATTTTAGTGTAAGGTGTCAGGAAGGGGTCCAGTTTCTGCTTTCTGTACATGGCTAGCCAGTTTTCCCATCACCGTTTATTAAATAGGGAATCCTTTCCCCATCACTTGTTTTTGTCCGGTTTCTCAAAGAGCAGATGGTAGTAGATGTGTGTCATTGCCTCCGAGGCCTCTGTTCTGTTCCATTGGTCCATATCTCTGTTTTGGTATCAGTACCATGTTGTTTTGTTTACTGTAGCCTTGTAATATAGTTTGAAGTCAGGTAGTCTGATGCCTCTTGCTTTGTTCTTTTTGCTTAGGATTGTATGGCTATGCTGGCTCCCTTTTGTTTTCATATGAAGTTTAAGGTGTTTTTTTCCAGTTCTGTGAAGAGGGTCATAGGTAGCTTGATGGGGATAGCTCTGAATCCATAAATTTCTTTGGGCAATATGGCCATTTTCACAATATTGATTCCTCCTAACCATGGGCATGGAATGTTTTTCCATCTGTTTGTGTCCTCTCTTATTTCCTTGAGCAGTGGCTTGTAGTTCTCCTTGAAGAGGTCCTTTACATCCTTTGTTAGTTGTATGCCTAGGTATTTTATTGTCTTTGTAGCAATTGTGAATGGGAG